CTTGACTGCCAAACTGTAACCACCTCAATCTCGCTTACAAGCAACCAATAGTAAACACCAAAAATGACGCAACCCGATCACTGGTACACAGATATACATGGTAAGTCCATATAAATACAAGTCACTTTGAGTGCCAAATATTCCAACATTTGTCACACAGTAGTACACCGCATTCTAAACAACCCTTTCGAATGTAATGTTTCCTCACGACCCTTTGTGCATGTGCACGCCCCAGCACCAAGTTTTGACGCTTTGAGGAGCAACAAGCACACCAACCACGCTTTTCTCGATGTATTTTTGAATGTATCTTGTTTGCATTGGTCATGGGAACGGCCTCTGGGATACAAGACGCCTGTGAATTGTGCAGAGCAACTTGTTTCCCGTACTGGAGAGGCAGCTCCTTGCACAAAGCTAGACGGAAAGCCGTTTGGTCCTTGCATCGAAGCTTTGACGTTTTCGGCCAACCTTCTCGCTGTAGCAAGAAGGAATTCGTGACAGCTACCTCTGGTCATGTGTTAACTAAAGCCAAGAACGTAAGACCAATGCTGTAATTTGGGAATTAGGAGCTGCGAACCTAAAAGAAACAGGTACATCAATGCTTGGTGCCCACCGCGTTGTATTCTCCGAGCCAAGATACCGACCATTGCAGTCCCAAATATGTTGCGGTGAAGATCTTCAAAGCTGGGCTCACAACTGGTTGCCGTTGTCAACACCGTTCATGTTATGTTTGTACTCATCAACAAGCTACAAAAGGCGGACCCTGTGCTGGCCGACATTGTGGTCCGCCTCTATCGCCGCGTTGAAGCACACATGGTGATGCCCCAGAACCAGGCTATTCTCGAGGCACCGGGTATCCAGCTCGATCTTGGCTCTGGGGCGGGTGGCCTGGGGGATGTTGATGCCATGGCGGACGTTGATGTTGGCGCAGACGGCATGACGGTTGACGGGCTGGACATCGGTATTGGCGGCCCAGGAAGCGCAGGCGGATTGGACGCCACTAGCGACGGCGATTGGTTTGGCGGCTTGGACACGAATGGTATGGATATGTTTGGCTGGGGAGACAGCATGGACTTGAGTGGGAATTGAATAGGGGGTTCTGCGTGAGGGTATCCTTATCGAGGGGGGACATGTAATAGTGTGTGGGCTGTAGGGGTGTCCTCGTAGCGATGTGTCTAGGTGTGTGTCAAAGTCGGCATGTCTATTCCGAGACTTGGAGTTTCATCAGGGTCAGTCTGCAATTTCTTTTTCTGAGTAGGTTGTGTGCATACCTAATTGTCGGACTGATATGATTCGACATGGTTTACCTCGCGTCTCCTGGTTGGTGTTGGGCTCACTCGCCACGGAGAATATGACGCCCCTGCAGACCTTGCTTCTCGTCACGACAGGAATTCGAGCGCCGAGTGTGTGAGCGATGTATCCTAGACACTCTATCCTTTTGTGTTGGAAAGTGTTCAGGTCCCCGTGGATGTGTTGCCACTCGTCGGGGGCCCAACAGCCTCCCGTACGTACGTGGCATGGTCTGATTTCTGCTCAAGCGATCTGAAAAGACAGGTGGGTTCTTCATGGCTTTCTTGTAATTTGGCTGTAGAAGACAATGGCTAGGCTCGAATTCTGGTACTTACACTGTTGACCCTATCGTATTTGTCAAACTTTGGGCGCAAGCTTGTTCATGTACGCTTGGGAGCCTCCCATGCCATGGGGTGAAGGTGCTTCTGGCGACGCAAGTGTGCCTACGTGATCCTTATTAGATTGCTTGTTATCAAGTTGAAACTGTAAACAGGGTGTAAAGTTTAAGGAGGCAGACATACGCTTTCAAAATCTAGACCCGAGGGTGAGTCGTTAAGGGAAGCCGGGTATAAGCCGGTATTGGCCTGGGCAAGATGGTGGACGAGTGAAAGCAGTGGGAGATGCTATTGCTTGTTTACTTTACTCGTATTCACAGGCCACAGTTGTATTTTCATTCAAGGTTTGCAAATAGCCGAGGAAAATACCCAACAGCGCAAACGAGCATCTCGGTATTCGGATAGGGGGACCGCTCTTGACAGGAAGCCTTCGCGAGGCGGCAGAGCTGTGAAAGCAGAGATTTCCCGCTAACCCGTTTGCTCTATCCGCATTCGCAGGCTCTGATACCGGTTCCACACCCCCTGTGAAGCTATTGACGAGTCCTTG